CCTTTTTTTTTTTTAATAACACAGTCAAGGACACTTTGGTTTTTCAGCTGAAACCACAACTAGTCAAAGCTGGAAAACGTTACATCACCATCCATAATTCAACAACAAAAACGATGACTATCTAAAGAAGAATGGCCTAGAAAGCATCACTTCATGCTACGGGTTGAACTGTGCCCTCCAATAATGTTGTTGAAGTCTAACCACCAGTGCCTTAGAATGTGACCTAATTTGGAAACAGGGTTGTTGCAGATATAATTAGTTAAGATGAGGTCAAACTGGTGTAGGGTGGGCCCCTAATTCAATATGACTGGTATCCTCACAAGAAGACAGCAATGTGAAGAAACAGGGAGAATGCCCTGTGAAGAGGGAAGCAGAGACTGGACTGATGCATTTACAATCCAAGGAACATCAAAGATGGCTAACCCTCATGAGCAGCTATGAGAAAGGTATAGAATAGAATCTCCCTCAAAGCTCTCTTGGTTGGCAGGAGCCAACCCTGCTAACATCTTGATTTCTGATACCTAGGCTCCAGAACTATGAAAGAATAAATTTCTGTTGTTTTAAGCCACCTAGTTTGTGGTACTCTGTTATTATAGCAGCCCTAAGAAACGAATGCCTAATATCAATAAAAACTTTCAGATTTTAATCTTAAAATAAAAGTTTTCATAACTGTGAAAACTTAGAAGCAATCTGACCTTCAGTAGGTGAATGGATAAACAAAATGTGGTACATTATGCATAGGAGTATCATTCAGTAATAAAAAGAAATTAGCTATCAAGCCATGGAAAGACTTGAGGAATCTTAAAAGGATATTACTAAGTGAAAGAAGCCACTCTGAAAAGACTGCACACTAGATGATTCCAACTACATGACATTCTGGAAAAGGCAAAAACGTGGACAAAGAAAAAGATTAGTGATTGCCTGATGTTCAGGGAGAGGGGAAAATGAAAGAGGTGATGCAAATGGGATTTTTAGGGCACTGAAACTATTCTACATGATACAGTAACAATGAATATATGCCATCATACTTTTGTCAAAACCCATAGAATACACACCACAAAGTATGAACCCTAATGCAAACTATGTATTTTAGTATTAATATAAAAATGTATCAGTATCGTTTCATCAGTTGTAACAAATGCACCACACAAGGTACATTCAACGGAATAAATGTCAATTCCTTAACTTTTCTGTAAAAACTTCCTGTATCTCTAAAGGGTAACACATTATTCTATACATCAGCTAAGTCATAATTTAATGCTTCCTTGACTCTCGTATTTAATCTATTTCTACATTTTGCCATGTCTCTTCCTTTCATTTCCCACACCACTAATGTAGCCCGACTTTTCCATCCATAAGGACTAGCCCCACACCTTCTGATGTCCTTCTGAGCTATACTTCAGACAGTCCTTTCCAATAAATGATGGCTTATAATAGATTATCTGCCCAAAACAAGAAAAACAGAAGATAGGTAGATAGATATATTATCTAAATTTCTTTCATTTCACTTCATACCAAGGAGAATGAGCCCAGTTTATGTACTGTTTTTAGAAGATCATTATTCATTCAGTGCCATTAACACTCTTGAAAGGTAAGTAGTATTAATAATGCTCATTTATAAATAGGGTAATTGACCCTTATAGAAGTTAAGGAACTTTTCCAAGATGACATATATCTCCCAACAGTGGCCGGAATTGAACAGATGTCTGATTACACTAAGACCATGATCATAACATAACATCCCAAGCAAGCAAGGGATATGAAGGACCACAGGCTGAGAAAGAGATCAGAACAAGAGGTAAAAATGTGGAAGTCATCCAAAAAGAGATGACAGCTGAAACCACAAAGAAGAAAGAGAATGTGGAAGAAAGAGAGTGGGGAAAACAACGGATGAAGAAAACTTTAGCATTACCCCACTTATAAAAGAAGGAACAGCAAAGTACACAGAGGAGGGGAGGGCAGATGAGAAAGGAACCACATATTGTCACGAGATCTGAAACCTGGAATCATTATCTTTGACTCCTCTCTCCCCATAATCTGCAATGTTCAGGTAGCTTTGTGTACATTACACTCACTTATAATTTTTTCAGATTTGTTTTTTACCAAGCATTATGTCATTATCCTAGTACATGTCCTTTAGCAACTTTTACTTGGAATTATTCACATAGCCTCCAAACATGTCTTCATTCTTTCCATTCTACCTGTGCTTAACTTAGTATCACCTCTTTATGTACCCACAGCCTCTTCTATCACTCCACCTACTATCGCCAACAAATGGGAGATTATTATTCACAATGTTCTTCTGTCCTTGGATTTTTAATCTATCTTAAAAAACAAATGGAGATCCACCATTCATTTCAGACTGCACATACTGAATAGTAAACATATAAATAATCTTAAAATCATCCTCCCCACTGAAAGGCATTTATATTGTTTCTAGACTTGTCATTACAAACTTGAGGATTATCTTGTCAAATTTTAACTATATTATTTATAGAATAAGCAAAAATTAAAATCTTAAAAATACTGAGCTTTTCTGTTCGAATCAAGGTATGTCTTTCTATTTAAGTATTCATCTTTACCACTCAGCAGTTTTAAAGTTTCTTCACATAGTTTCTGCATATTTGTTTATTCCTAGATATTTTACATTTTTAATTGTTATTATAGAATTTTTCTTTCTCTTATATTACTATATTTATAATAGAAAGCTATAATTCTTATATATAAATTTTGCCTTTTAGTGTACCTTGTAATTTTTTTGTAAGTCAGACATGTACAAGGTACTAGGTAAAAAGAACTGAGGTAAACAGGCCTTTGGTGATGTGGTGAAGCAAGAGGGAAACTGTAAGATACTCGATACCCATTACTCGTGTGTTTTAGGAGGAGCTTGTATTTTCTCAACTGCATATATGTCTATAATCAATATACAGTATGTTTTGTGTATTAAAATTTACTTAGCTAGATACCTTCTATCATAGAATATACCACAATTTATTATCAAATAATGTACATTTATCATGCACACAAATAATGTATAAGTAAGATCTTTATTCCAGTCTCCTGGAATAAATGTGGGACTCTTTACATTAGTAAAACTGGAGCTGCTAAGAAGAATGAGCATTTGTAGATATTGCTATATTTCTCTCTACTGTGGCTGTTTCAGCACTGTATGAAAATTCCCACTGCCCCACTTTTCAAACAATCCTTGGCATTATCAGACTTGTTAATTGTTTTGATATGATGAATGTGAAACAGGTTTTTTCAGTTGCTTTAAAAATGACATATCCCTGATTCCCTGATTATAGTGAGGTTTAACATTTTAAAATATATTGGTTAAACATTATGTATATATTTTTCCTTGAATTTCTTGTTCATAGACTTTCTCAACTTTCTGTTGGATTGCATTTTCTCTTATTAATTTGTAGATGCTCTTTGCATATTTGGGTACTAATCTTTTATCAGTTACACATACTGTTTGCAAGTCTACTATCCCAAAATGTGATTTGTCTTTTCATAATCTTCACATACGGAATTTGTCACTAAAGTCAGTAAATTTTAGCACAATAAAAATAACAAGCTTTTCTTTAAAAGTTAATACTTTAGAGTCTTACTTTAAATATTCTTCCTGATATCATAAATCATAACGATATTGTCATATATTTTCTTCTAAAATTTTAAAGTTTTTATTTTCAGTTTTAGGTTTTCAATCTAATGAATCCAGTTGGTGTGCATGAGTTAGAAATTCAACCTCTTCTGTTTTTAAACATGGCCAACCTAGCATTGATTACCAAATAGTTCATTCTTTCTCCCACTGATTTGTTATACTACATCTGTCATATACAGAGTTCCTACAGACATCAGTCTGTTCCTAAACTTGACTGCTTTATTCCTATTCTGATTTACTTTAGCTTTATGCCTGATTGGGTGAATCTCCCCACTTTATTTTTCCTCTGGGTTAATCGTGACCTTTTACCCTGGCATAAATTTTAGAGTCAGCTAAAACTTTGCCAAGTTCTGCAAAACAAACTTTTGAATTTTTTTGAAATTATATTCAATTAACAGATATATTTGAAAATATTTTGCATCTCCAGACTACTGAATTTACTCATCCTATTATTTGAATATTCTTTTAGCTTCCTTAATAAAGTTTTATAACTTTCTTCATCTAGTTCTTCCATATCTCATTTTAACTTATTCCTAAGTATTTTTGTTGCTGTTGTAACTGGGATCTTCTTTAAATCACATTTTCTAAACATTTTTGCTAATGTACAGAAGCATGATCTTTTTATGTTATTTTATATCCGGCAACAGTGGTAAGCTATATAATTAGTTCTGGTAGTTTGTATATAGATTTTCTCAGATTTCCCATACAGACAATCCTCTACAAATAATGAAAGTTTTGTTTATTCCTTTCATTTCTTGTATCATTTATTATTTTTCTTTTCTTATTTTACTGGCTAGGATTTCCAGCATAATGCTGAATAAAAGTGGCGATAGTAATCATCTTGTTTCTAAGCTTAATGAACATATTTCTAGTATTTCATTATTAAGTATGAGGCTTATTGTAGAGTTCTGATGGATATCCTTTATCTGGCTAAGGTTGATTTTTTCAATTCCTAGGTTCTTAAGAGTTGATATTGTTGGTAAGGGAGGTCGTGATGTTAATCATAAATAAATGCTAACAATCATTTCTTCTCTATTAAAATAATCATTATGTGATAGACACTATTTACTATCTAACATATGCTCTATGAGACACCTTAACTCATTCTAAATAGATCTGCATATTTTCAGTACATGTTAATATCACATTCACGGACATAGTCTAACTGAAAAATAATTCAATTGGCCGGGTGCAGTGGCTCACGCCTGTAATCCCAGCACTTTGGGAGGCCGAGGTGGGTGGATCACGAGATCAGAAGATCGACATCCTGGCTAACACGGTGAAACCCCATCTCTACTAAAAATACAAAAAATTAGCCAGGCATGGTGGCAAGCACCTGTAATCCCAACTACTGGGGAGGCTAGGGCAGGAGAATCACTTGAACCTGGGAGGCAGAGGTTGCAAGTGAGCTGAGACAGCACCAGTGTACTCCAGCCTAGGGGACAGAGTGAGACTCCCTCTTGGGAAAAAAAAAAAAATCCAATTATTTCTGGCCTTTAGTTTGTAAAGGATATATGCATAACATAAATTTTGAAGATATAGACACATTTGCCTGATTTAAGCTATTACATACTTCAAGACAAGACAGATGGTTACGAACAAAATATATCCTTTATCATATACATGTACCTAAGATATCTAAAACAAAGACATAAAAGACATAATTCTATTTAATATTTAATTCTGAATTGTTGACAAACATTGGTATAAAACCACAGGCTTCACAAAGGAAAGGAACTATTACATAGCTTGACTTTTATCTTTCAATAACCACCATTTGAGGCACATACTTTAATTAAAACCCAGCGCTGTAAAAATTATAACTTACAAATAAGTGAAGCTATGCATTTGAATTTTAAAATCCTATATTTTATGGGATTTATTCTCCAGTGAGCAAATAAACAACCAGACATAAGTTCCCTGGGTTCTTAATTCTACTAAGTGGCCAGCTTCAGAAATACGTTCTAGTAAAAACAAGCCTAATTTTAAAAATTGCAAATGAGTTATTTCTTTAAAATGCATTACTTAAAATTCTACATAAAAGAATACTACATTTTTAAGTTTTAAAACTGAAATTAAATAAGTTTTACTTCCAGAGGGAGAACAACTGAAGCAAAGAGAAAACACTACAATTATGTCATCAGAAAAGCATAATTCCATATACAAAGCCTGGGTTTGTGCCCAATTTTTCGGAAATACATCTACCGGATTACATCTCTATAAGACTTTTTCCATAAAAACAAGGATAACAAGGCAAAAAAGTAATACAAATAGAATTCCACTTGAAAAATCAAAGTTCAACATATATCTACACTAGTTCCATCCCCAGCCCATTTTCCATTCTGCTTTACTAATGCAGAGGCAACAAATCTTGTTTGAATACAAAATTCTTAATAGAAAAAGCTTTCATATTTAGCTGTTAATCTACTAAGGCACTATCCTTTCAGGAAAGTGCCATCATACAGTACCTATAGCAAAAAACCTACACAATTTAATCTTTTTAATGAAACTGGATTAGCTTTTCAATGTATTATGTTCTCTACACTTTCTATTTAAAAGCTGTCACTAAAGGAGCTTATAAAATGTGAAGGCTCAGGACACAAATAAGCAATGAGGCTGTGTGAAGAACTGGAAGCCTAGAGGTTAACCAACTTCAAATCATCTGTGAATGATAATTTTCAATAATGCTACACCAAACCCTTGATCATACATATAAAGAGCCAAACCATAGTCAGTCAAAATGCAACACATCACTGTCTGCAGTTAGTTTTGCCTATAATTAAAACACTACCATTTTATGGTTGCTAAAGGTATACACATGAAAAGCAATCATCGTCAATTTAAAAAATTGAAAAAGGAAATCAAATTTTATTATAAAACTCTCCTTTTCTGGTTACTTAGAAAAGCATTTCTCAAATATTTATTAAGAAAGTAATATTGAAACCACTATTTTCATCCCCCAAAATGTATAAAAGATATTCCTTTTTAATCAAGAAAATTTCACTTAGCATTTAAAAAAGCTTAGCAGCAAAACTGTGGGAGGAGTCTCCCCCAGTAATGTATCGTACAAGAGTATGAATGACGTGAGACAAAATAAGGGCAACAGCCAACTGTGCCGCTAAGCACATGATTTCATTCACCCTTTCTGACTGTCAGGTTCTTCATTTGTCAAATGGGAATAATAACAACTGGATCACAGGATTGTTGAGAAAGTTAAAAGAGATGAGTTATGTATGAATATCTACCACAGTAGCAGGCTAGACATTTTTTTAATTATCAGAAGCACATCCCTTCTCCCACCCCAACCTTCCCCGCAAGAGAAATCCACATATACATTTGAAATCAGGCTGGATTTTTTAAACGATACTAACATTTAATTTAATGTTACTCATTCATCTCCCTCCAGCAAGTGAAGACTATAATTCAAGTAAAGATACATTTAACAACTAAAGATACCTTTAAAAATGAGAAAAATGGGTAACATGTAGCTTAACAACATAGTACTTTTCCTTTTTTCTCTGCCCCTTTAGGCACTCTCCTAGGGAAAGAACAGTTAACCTTTGTTGCCTAAAACCATATTCTCCTTAATCTAACAGCTATCTGCTTATTCAGCAAATAAAAATAATGTGAGGGTCTTCCTAAATTGTGAAAGGTCCTAAATTATAAGGCACTAACGGGGATACATTTGAACTCTGCAAACACAGCTGATGTATAAATTTGACAGACTCCCTTTGTAACCTAGTGCTAAGGTAGTCATGTAATTCAGGACACTTATGTCCAACGTTAAACCTGAAGTGACAACAGGCATAAAGAGGTCTATTCCAGACAAATGTGCATTTATAATCACCCTACCCATTGTATTATCTCAAAATCGTACATGTGCAAAATGACCTTTTGCCTCAGAAGAAAAAGGCTTTGTTACTTTTTCTTTTGTAAAAAAAATCACAACTAAACACACCTAGTGGCTAGATACTGTTTTCCAAAAAAAGGAACCAGGGCTCCTATGAAAACTGGATGATGATTCTAGAACTGAGAGAGGAAATATATATTATGAGTCTGGAGCATCTTGTCAGGCCAGAAAATAAGCAAGGGTTCAAAAACACAATGATGAGAGTATGGCAAAGGAACAAAAGATCTGACTGAAAGAACTCTCGATTTGAAGCTGGAATCAATAAAGTTGTTCTGGATTGTAACAAAAAGTATAAAATAAATATCCATGAATCCATAAGATAAATAAAAGATTAAACAAATCAATAAATGGTAGAAACAAATCTCCCATGCAGAATTCAAAAAAATGCTGTTAGATGTTCCACCCTCTAGGAGGTAGAGTATAACCCCCTACTCCTTAAGTGTGGGCTGTGCATAACAACTTCTTTCCGAAAAGTACAGTATGTGGGTAGGGGAGGGGCTCAGGGAATAATTACAGTGAAAAAACCTAACACTGCCTCAACCAAGTGATCAAGGTTAACATCAGCAGTGATGTCATGTTGATAGTACACACCCTTAATAAAATGTGATGAAATGGCACTTTACCTCTGTGACCTTCCTCCCCAAGACACATAACCCCAGTTGAATAATGAGTAAAATGTCATATGGTCTATAAAATACCATCAAGTCATCAAAAACAAGATACAGTCTGATACAGTCATCAAAAACAAGAAAAGTCTAAGAAACTGTCCCAGCCAAGAGAAACCTAAGAAGACATAACTACTAAATGTAATGTGGCATCCTGCATGGGTAGGATCCTAGAACAAAAAGAACATTAGGTAAAAACTAAGGATATTTGAATAAAGTGTGGACTTTAATAATAACGTATCAATATTGGTTCATTATGTGGAACAAATGTAGCTTACTAATATGTTATAACGGGTGGAACTGGATGCAAAGTAGATGGGAACTCTGTATTATCTCTGCAATTTTTCTATGACTCTAAAACTGTTCTAAAATTAAAAGTTTAAGAAAAATTAGAAAACCTTAAAATATTTTATATAGAGATTAACATTATGCACTATGGCCCTCATTCTGTCCAAATATAAGCCAGTCATTCACTATTTATGATATTCATGTTGTCCTGAGGAAATGATGGAGGTCTACATGCAAAGAGAAGTTGACAGTGGAGAATCCTCCTTCATCTATCCATTTTCAGCATCCTGCAGTGTACTGCACTTCACATGTATGTCAAGTTAAGTAGTTTAAACTAATACTCACAAGTACACACAAATGGTTTAAAACGTCTCAGACAAGAAACAGCAGGTAGAACATAGGCATAAGCAAGTAGCCAAAGTGACATTCCTTCATTCCTCGTATGAGTTCTTTATCAGTCACAATATGAGGTTAGTCGTTATTCAAAGATGCTTTTAACTAATGAAATGTGACCAGAAGTAGGACAAGACATTTCAAAATTATTAAGAAGTCTATCAGCCCTTAGTGGATTTTTATTAATGTAATGAATAAACAAACGTTAGATACATATATTTTAAAATAGTAACAACTTGAGAAGCAACAATGGATTTATAACCATTCTTATGAACAATGAACCCTGCCCTTTGTATGAAGATAATAGCTAATGATAGCATGACGTTTTCATAATTAGCACAAGATATATCCAGATTATGAAGATAAGCCTTTCTAATTTTTAGTGATGTTTAAAATCATGCTACTCCCAATCTAGTATTTTATGAAATTTCACAAAAGGTAATGACAAATATGCAGAAGATTTTACAGATGTTGTCTTCTTGTTGAATTCTGTTTTGACAATGAAATGGATGAAAATGATATAAGTATCCTCAACATATGCTCAACAGCAAATGACTTCCTTAAGGAAAACAATGTTGTAGCTAAAATTGTGTAAGTGTAACCAGTAAGAAAGCAACCACTTGTTTGGAATAACCTGCACATTGTGCACATGTACCCTAGAACATAAAGTATAATAATAAAAATTAAAAAAAAAAAGATTCTGACATGCTATCCATCATATGAGGATACAAGAAGACATACCCTCATCAGATAATGGATTTACCAGCACCTTGATCTTGGACTTCCCAGCTTCCAGAACCATGAGAAATAAATGTTTATTGTTTTGTGTTTTTTAGGGAAAAAAAAAAGTTATGAAGTAAGGTTAAAGGGTTAGCACTACACATATAATTCATTTTTTCAATCATTCATAGACAAGCAGTTATAGAAAAGTAGATGAATCCAGAAATGTACAGAGTGCTACAGGATATCGCTAATGTGGTTAATTTCATAGAAACAAGACCTTTAATAAATAGAGGAATACTTACAAACTATAATGAGATGTGTAGGAACTATCACACAGTGTTTAAGTGACTTAGCTCCCGAACTGGACTGCATGGGCTGGAACACCAGCAATAGAATTTATTAGCTATGAGATCTTGGACACATTACTTAATCTCTACAAGTTATTATCATCCATAGACTGGTGACAGAATTGGTGAATGTTTTACAAGAGATAATTCATGTATAGCACTTAGAACAATGCTTGGCACACAGTATGTATTCAATAAATGTTAGCTATTATTGGTTACTATTATGAGAATAATCATAAAAATCTTTTATACCACAAAAAATTCATTAATCATCTTTTGGCAAAGAACTTAGAGGTGATCAACCTCAGAGATGAATTACACATTTTTCTTTTACAAATAAGTAAGCATTCCAAATTTGCTGGCCTATTCTGTGATATTTTGTAAACCAGGGTCTATGAGAATACTCCATCAGTATCTCCTGCTAAATTAGTTATATTGATAGTGTTAGCCACAAATATCTAACAGAAAGTACTTCATCAGAATTTTAAAATAGTATACATACCCTCAAATCAGGAGAAAAGTTGTCAGCAGAAGTTGAAATGGAATCTGATGACACAACAGAAGCTGATTTTGTATGCACTGAATTCTCTGAATGAGAAGTGGAGGCACTACAAAATACAAAAGTACAGTATGTTGGAAAAGTGGGGACTTCAAAGACCAGTTTCAGACATTGTATTTAATATAACTCCAATACTTATTAAAATTCCCACAGCCAACTAAGTTCTGCTTTGCCTATTCAATCTTATTTCTAAATCTTAACAAATTACAAACTATTCCTGCTGGGTCAAGTATTCTTACGATCTAAGTTCCATCTGGACAGACTCCCAATACTCATGAAGACACTCCAGGATAATTCCTTCTTTTTATCCATTCACCCATCCATTCATTCATCCAAAGAACATTCATTAAGTGGTCCAATGTACAAAACCACTACACCAGGCACTGTGATTTGAAAATAAATACGACATCATCCTCATGTTCATGAAGCTCACAAGCTTGTGACACAGACAAGTAAATAAGTGGTGCAATGTGATGACTATAATTAGAAACACATACACACACACACACACACACACACACACACAAAAACACCCCACATACATACAAGTATCTACGGGAGAAAAGAAAAGGAAGCAGCCAATTCTGGCCAGAAAGTTCAGGGAAGACGTCTCAGAGGAGATGATATTCAAACTGAGTCTTGAAAGATAGGAGATCATCAGACAAACAAGGAAATTTCAAAAACTAACAAAAGGCAATGCAAAGGTATAGAAGTATCAAAGTCTACAGAACATCTCAGACACTACAAATAGTTGAATAAGGCTGAATGGATAAAAGAACAGATAAAGATGGAAAGAGAAGCTCTTTGTACCTTGTACCTTCCCACCACATCAAACAGCCCTGCCTTAAGTATCTACTTCTTCCATTATAAGTAATCACTCAACACAGTTACTTTTACTTTCTTAAATTCCTATAGAGCTTTTTTTTTTTTTTTTTTTTTTAGACAGAGTTTCACTCTTGTCACCCAGACTGGAGTGCAATGGTGCAATCTCAGGTCACTGCAACCTCTGCCTCCCAGGTTCAAGCGATTCTCCTGTCTCAGCCTCCTGAGTAGCTGGGATTACAGGCACCTGCCCCCACACCCGACTAATTTTTGAATTTTTGTATTTTTGTAGAGACGAGGTTTCACCATGTTGGCCAGGCTGGTCTTGAAGTCCTGACCTCAAGTGATGCACCTGCTTCGGTCTCCCAAAGTGCTGGGATTACAGGTGTGAGCCACCGTGCCTGGCCAAACTTTTGATACCTGATCACACTTTCATTGTTTATTTTATCTCACCAACTAGTGCCCCAAGAACAAAAATTATGTCTTTTTTGGGGGAGGGGGGAGCACGGGGGAGAAATGAGGTCTCACTATGTTATGCAGGCTATTCTCCTCAAACTCCTGGCCTCAAACGATCCTCTCACTCAGCCTCCCGAAGTATCAGGATTTCACGCATGGACTACCATGCTCAAGCCTATACTTCTTTTTTATTTTCCACAAAATCTACTTCAGGACCCGTGTACACTGTTAATATGTATTATGCTTGTTAAATTTTAAAATCTGTGACAATATGCCACAAACTGAATAACTGATTCATTTCCTCTTATCAGTAAAACAAAGTTAAAATTATTTAAGGTAAGGTCAATGGTAGAAAAACCTCAAATACCTTGAATTGAGTCTTTAAGTTCAGATTTTCAAAAATGTATTTTTCTAAAACATATTAAAAGTCTTCCTTATACCAGAAGTCAAAATTTTTTTCACTAGATTTTGAGGAAATACTTCACCTTTGAGTTGTGATAGTATTAAGAACCATTTAGCTTTAAAACAAATTCCATTTATTCCTTACAAACCTGTCTATAACAAGAATATCTAAAATACTTATACAATGTTCAAATCACCTCCCCCAAAAAGAAATTGTCACTTCATTTAAATGAATGAAAAGTGGTATTCTGGTGCAAACACAACAGAGTATTTCCAACAACCTATACTATTATACAAAAAAGTAGTCATAAGAAATTATATTACATAGTTTTATAATGTAAGGAAAGAAAAAGTGATAGGCTGTGAATGTTTTCCTTTTTCTTTGTATCTAAATTCTGATTAAATGTCATTTTCCTTAAAATAACAGGTAAAATAACCAAATTTTAAGCACAGTACTTTGACAGACATTGTTAGCTTCCTATTTCAAATAAATTCCCCTTTCTCTCTGACTTTGATCAGGGTAGTCTGTGCCCTGCTGAAGATAAGAGGCTCGCTATTCTCTTCCTTGTGGCTAGGGGAGCCATGTGAGTCAATTCCAGTCAGTGGGATTTAGCGGGAAATCTGCTAATGATTATAGAAACCTTTTATTTTCTTAATAAAGAGGAGCAGAAACAGCAGGGCAGTCTTTATCCTTTCCCATTTCTCTTGCCTGAAATAAGAATGTAAAGTTTGGAAACACAAGAGCCATCTTATAAACATTAGCAAGATGCTGGCCTGCTGAGGACAGGGAGCCAAAGAATAGGATGAGCATAGGTTTTTGTAGCATCACTAGGCCAACAACTCTCTACCTCTGGAATTCTTGTTATGTAACATAAATGGGTGAGCATGGCTGTGTGTGCCTGTAGTCCAAGATGCTTGAGAGACTGAGGCAGAAGGATCACTTGAGCCCAGGAATTTGAGACCAGCCTGGGCAACATGCCAAGAATCCATCTCAAAAAATTAATTAAATAAAATAAAAACTTTTTAATAAAATAAATGAACTAAAATGTTTAAAATCTCTGCAATAGAGTCTGTTCTATACAGTCAAACACAATATAGCAATCAACATCTCATAAAGTCTAGTTATGGCAAGTTCAAATGTATAATGCTATTTTATATGCATATGCCCTTCTGGGAGAACAGAAAACCTCTTAAAGGCAACTGAATATAACTTGAAATTACAGAAAGTGTATTACCTAGAAGAATAATACTGACAGAAAGACTACTGTAGCACGTAGCGCCAAGAAACCAAATGGCTCTCTGGTTGGGTGTGGTGGCTCACGCCTGTAATCCCAGCACTTTGGGAGGCCGAGGAGGATGGATCGCTTGAGCCCAGGAGTTCGAGACCAGCCTGGGCAACATGGTGAAACCCCCTCTCTACTAAAAATAAAAAATTGGCCAGGAGTGGTGGCACATGCCTGTAGTTCCAGCTACTCAGGAGGCTGAAGCATGAGAATCATTTGAACCTGGCAGGTAGAGGTTGCAATGAGCTGAGATCATACCACTTCCCTCCGGCCTGGACAACAGAGCAAGACTCTGTCACCAAAAAAAAAAAAAAAAAAAAAAAAAGAAAAAAAAAAACCAAATGGCTCTTTAGAGCCAAAGCATAAAGTAAATAAGTTTAAGAGAGAGAAAATAACAAATCCAGGTACTGGAACTTGTACTTTGCAGTCTCAGATTCAAAGAATCAGTCTTTCAAGCCAAAGTGTGGTAAACAGCCTTTAATTATTACCTTCTCTTTTCAGACACACATAAACACAGGCAGATATTATGACCCACAATGTTATAGTTGAATAAGCACTAATGTATATTTCTGTGTAACCAGTCTACAAAGGGTTTCACTCTCCAGGCAAATACTGAGGAGCTGGAGGGGTACAGTGTGGGAATACATCATAGTACTGTTCTTGTGATTATGGCAGAAATGCGCGCGCGCGCACACACACACACACAGAGAGAGAGAGGGAGAGAGAGAGAGAGGCAGAGAGTGGGGGAGAGAGGGAGGAGAGAGAGCACACAGGAGAGAGGGAGAGAGAGAACGAGAGGGAGACAGCATGTGAGAGAGCGAGTAATCACACAGGCGCACACAAGCGCAGCAGAACTGTTAAAACTTCTGGTATAAACGTGAAGTGCTGCCTTTAGCAGCTACTCAGACTGAAGGTGGCCATGGGCACACTAGGATGCATAGTTCTCTTTTCTGTAGTTGTTTGTTTTCTTCTGTCATACTGGCTCTGTACATGCTTGTAGTCACCATAGCTACCGGTATAACACACGCTAATTTCCACTGCTTTTTTTCCACTTCTCCCTTGCTCATCTTGAAGTCAAGCTCTCTATGTTTATTTTTTATGAACTGTTCCACAAACAAGCTCTGTATTTCCCAAAATTCATGCCTTTGCTTCAGGGCTTTCCAAAATAGAATGTTCCTTTACCCTAATCTATTTAATAACATCCTACCTACCCTCTAAGACCTGGTTTAAAAAACTAGCTTCTCCAAGAAGTCTTGGAGTCTTCCAAGAAGGTCTTCCAGTTGGAACTAAACTCTCAGTCTTCTACACTTTCATAGACTTTATCTATAACTGCACTTAACACTTCCCACATTAGACTAGAGAACTTCAGTTACATGGCCACCTCTTTTTTAAATTACAAACTCCAAAGAATAAGAATCTTATAATTAGCAAGGCATTTGAACTTGGAGCAGAAACTGCAGTCTCTAACTTCATTAAGTAACCGATACCATTTTGGTCCTCAGATTTCCTAGGCCTACACACTTCACCTCAGTCCATCCAAACATTCCTGTTTTCCTTGTCAACCTGGGCCTCTCTTCCACGTGCTAAAACTTCTACTCAACACTCTGTCGCATATGTTCATTACCATATTACTGTGTGTTTCCTATACCCCACTTTTCTCTGTCCAAGCCTTCTTCAACTACTAACTCTCTTCCTAATCTTCATCTGAATGTTTTTGTGCACAGTGAATAAACTCCCCTACATCTTTAACAGGATTCTCCCCTTCACCTCTGCCTCAACTGACCTTCCCTCACAGGAATCCACTTCCCTGCAGACTTTAATAAGAGACTTTTTTCTTTTCCCACATCTAACAATGCCCAAAGATGAAACAAGCATTTTCCCAGCTGAACTTTCAGGCTTCTACATTAGTATTATTTTTGCATCTTCATATATAAAAGCCTTCTTCCTCTAAGGTTCATGGCTTTTCAGTATACAACCTCCTTGTTACTATCATCCACCCACCCATCCTCCTCACTCACTAAGGGTTTTCTCATCTGGCTCAATTTCTTCTCCAGCATTTCTTTCTACTCCAAAGCTGCCATCATTA